CCTCTAGTCCCTTTTTCAAAGTAAAGCAAACAAAGAAATACACTCTAGTAAAAGGAACATTTACAAGTTGAGAAAACAAAAGAAAACTAACACGCCTTGCCTGGCTATTTACTTACAAGTTTGAAATAGGAGAGACTTGTTTAGAAAGATGTGGAGAACCTGGATTGATGTCTGGTCCCTCTCAGTCCCGAGAACGAACACACTCCCAAACAAAGAACACAAACAACAGCCTTCCCCCCCCAAGATTTGAAAGTATCTTGTCTCCTTATTGGTCCTTAGGTCAGATGCCAGCCAGGTTACCTGAGCTTCTTAACCCTTTACAGGGAAAAGGATTTTGGAGTCTCTGGCCAGGAGGGATTTTATAGCACTGTACACAGGACAGCTGTTACCCTTCCCTTTATAGTTATGACAGGGGGGATCGGAGACCAGAGCATATGCCCATGGGTGGGGGGGATCTGAGACCAGGGTGTGTCCATGGGGGCGGGGGAATCTGAGACCAGGGTGTGTGTCCATGGGGAGGGGGATCTTAGACCAGGGTGTGTGTCCATGGTGGCGGGGGAGATCTGAGACCTGGGTGGGTGCCCATGGGAGGGGGTGAGACCAGGGTGTTTGCCCATGGGAGGGGATGAGACCAGGGAGTGTGCCCATGGAGGGATCTGAAACCAGGGCATGTGCCTGGGATCTGAGACTAAGGCATGTGCCCAAAAGTAAGGAGGGGTAGTGGATCTAACCAGGGTGTAGGATCCAGTTGCTCTGGGATCTGGTCCCTAACGACCCATCTCCTCTCCTGCTGCTGGCTGGCCGGGGGGAGGAGGGTGTTGGGACGTGAGTATCTGTGGGGCTGGAGAAACTTTAGAGTTAAGGATGTGGAGGTGGTGGGGAGAGGGGAAAAGAGGAGCTGAACCTTCACCCCAAAATTCAGTTCAACCTCCTTGTATTGACCCTGGGGGCTGAGATCAGAACCCAGCCCACAGGTTCCCTGTGGATGCAGTGAGGTGTTTGTTACCCCTGGCGCTGTCCCTGGGGCTGGGCGCTAAGGGCAGGTGACAGACACATGGGGAGGGGTTTGTGTTTCCCCATCTCACTCCTGTTTGCGTGTGAATGCAGAGCTCCCTGCGCCTGGACCCTCCATCTCCATCAGCCCCAGCGGGGTGATCGCCCCGGGGGGAGCCGTGACCATCCGCTGTCAGTGTCGGTGCGAGGCCAGGAGGTTATTTCTGTATAAAGATGGAATCGAAATCTGGGAGCTAGACGCTGCTGGGGACGGGGGTGAATTCACCATCCCCAGCGCCAGACGGGAAGACGGAGGGATCTACAGCTGCCGATCTCGCTCCAGATCGGAGCCGCCCAACTGGTGGTATCCCAGTGATGTTGTGCGGATCATTGTTGCAGGTGAGGGGCCCAGCTCGGCATCCCCACACCCAGCCAGAAGTACAGGGGGTCTCCACGCCAGTGGGACGCTCAGAGCCAGGCTCTGCCCTGAGCTCAGCAGAGGGGACACCCGGTGTGGAGTCACTGGGGGGTTCCCAGCGGCTGCAGATTGGGGGCTGAGGGAGGGGGGATCCCTGCCCCCAGGGGACCTTGGGAGGGTCACTAAACCTGCCTGTGCCTCCATTTCCCCTTGTGTAAACTGGGGATAATCATCCTCCCTGCACCTTGTGGCTGGTTAGATCGTCAGGACTTGGCTTTAGGGCAGGGGCTTTTCTCACCGTGTCTGTGCAGCACCCAGCATCTCTGACTCCCAGCCCCCTCCCGATCTAACCACTAGACCCCACTCCCCTCCCAGAGCCAGGGATAGAACCCAGGCGTCCTGGCTCCCAGAGTAGGGGGGCTATTAGGTAGATAGACGGGTACAGAGGGGGGCTCTGGATTTTAGGCAGTTTCGGGCGTAGCTCCCAGGAATCTCTGGGATCTCAGAGAGGTTTCTCTGGCTGGGTTTTCTCCCAGGGGCCCCGTCTCTGGGACCGTGCGGCGAGGACGGGGAGCAGTGACTGTGCCGGGGTCTGTCTAACAGCCTGTCTCCTCCTCCCTGCAGAGCTCAGATACCCCAAACCCTGGAACCTAATGATGGCAGTCGCGATGGCAGCGCCGTTACGTCTTCCGCTGCTGATCCCTTCAGGGGGGCCTGGTTCTCCCAACGATCTCAAAGCACCTCTCCAGCCAACGCCCCCCTCCCCCACCCGCTGCCATCTCTCCACCCACATGATTGCTACGTAGAAATGAGCTGGAGGGAAATCCCCAAGACAGGGGCAGGACCCGGAGGAGAGGGGGGCTGCGGGATCTGGGCCAAGCGGACTTCACAGGGTACATGGGGCCTGGGGTACATCCCCTCCCACACCCTGCCCCCACCCCAGTATAGTCCTGTGCCATTGGCAGCGAACCACACCGATCATTACTACCCAGAATCCCCTCTGCTCCTGCTGCGGGTCCCTGGGTCCTTGAGGGGGAGGGGCTGGGGGCAGCAGGTAACGAACCAGCCGCTCACAGCCTGGTGCTGCTTCCCAGGGGGATCCGAACCGCCGGCACCTCTGGATCTGACCCACCCCCATCATCGCGGGGGAGAACGCAGCCGCCTCCTCCTGGCCTTCCTCGGCTACAGACGAACCCGAGGCAGTGACTGCCCTGCTGTCACAGGGTCTCCGCCCTCCCGAGCCTGGTTCAATAAAGAGTCCCCACGCCGTCTCCAGTGCTCCACCCTTGTGTCTTTATTTACCGTACAACAGTAGAGTCCCCCTTATTCCCGCAACAGCTAGCCCCAGTCAGACCCTTCCCGGGGTCTCCTGGCCCGTGAGGCCCCTTGCCTTTGGTGGGGAGACCGAGATGTCAGCCCCCTGTCCCCTCCCAGGCTAGCCTGCGCTCTGAGCGTTCTCCAGGGCTTTTATAGGCCTCCCCCTTCCTCAGCCCAACTATCGCTACTTAGCTCAAGTCATTGCTGGGAGCTGGCCCTCGGTAGGGCCTGCAGCTGGGCTCTCTGCTGGCTGCCCGGGCCCCTGCACCCGGCTTCCCTACCAGACCGCAGGACTTAGCCAGCGTTTCAGCAGGGCATTCCAGGGGTTACCCTTGCCCTGCCACACCCGCCCAGCGAGGGAAGGGTTAAACCCGCTGCTAAGCCGGGCTGGGAAGGGGTCACGGCTGGGATGGGAGACAGGGAAGGAAACCCAGGGGGTGGGGCAGGGGCCCAGCAGGGGGCGCTCTCCCCTGGCAGTTAGAGCTGGGCAGCACTAGGGGGCACTGTGCTGCAGAGGGTATCCAGGCTCAGCAGCTGGAGGGGACAGGGCTCCCCCCGGCAGAGCGTGTGTGTGTGGGGGATTCTGTACTGGACCCCCAGGCCCACTGCTCTATAGAGCTGAGGGGCAGGGCTGGTACACGGGATCAGGGTCAACTCATGGCCGATTCTGCTTTGTCTCTCTGCAGGGAAAGGACCAGCCCCGAGACAGAGCAGGTGAGACCCCAGCTCCGCTCCCCACCCCCGATCTACCTGCCCCAGGACACAGGACTCCTGGGTTCTCTCCCCGGCTTGGGGAGGAGAGTGGGGTCTAGTGGGTTGGAGTGGGGGCAGTGGTTGGGGAGGGGCCTGGGAGCCAGGACTCCTGGGTTCTGTTACTATCTCTCTCTTTCTCCCAGTAGGGAGTCGGAGGCTGCAGCCACAGTCTGTAAGTCACACATGATGGGGCAGGTGAGGGGAAGGGACGGGCGGGTGCTCCCTGGTGGGGGCCACATCCTGTTGCGGGAGGACATGTTGATGTGGGGTACAGCCTGTGTGTCACTTTGGGATGAGGCATCTCTGCACCCTCTTGGGTGTGCTCCTGCTCGGTGACTCAGTTTCCCTTGCTGCACCATGGAGCTAGTGACCCTGCCCCACTCCAGTATGCTGGGGGCAGGCGGGCCAGTCTGCAAAGGGCTCACAAGGGAGGTGGGGGGCTGGGCCTGGGGCCCTGATCTGGGTGTCGCTGTTCCACAGACATCCTCATGGGTGAAAGGAAGCAGCTGGATGTCCTGGTAAGTGCCCCCCATTCTCCGACCCCCCCCCAGCACCAATGCACCATTCAGCCCCCCTCCTGCCACAACAATCTGAGGTGGGCAACCGGGGCGGGGGAGGGGAGAGGGGTGGGAGATCCAGAACACAGAGAATAACAGCCTGACTGACCCTGCACCCCCCAAACTCACCCCTGAGCCCCCCGAACCTTCACTTCAAATGTTTGCATTTGTCTGAGGCTTGCAGAGGGTCAGTAGAGTTCCATGTGGGGCAGATGCCGGGGGGGGATTTCCCTGATCTCTGCCCCATGGGGCTCTGTGGGCTGGATTCTGGGGGGGGGGGCGGGGCGGGAAGAGAGAAGAGCAGCTCTCCAGAGCCCCTTGGGGTGTGTGTGTGTGTGTGTACACACACCCACCCCAGTGATTCTCCTCCCCTCCCAGTCCCAGGAGCCCGACCCCGGCGCCGAGGGACTCACCTATGCCGAGCTGGACCACCAGGCGCTGCAGGCCAAGTGGGGGGGCCCAGCCCTTGCCCCCGAGTCCGTCCTGTACACCACCATCAACGTGAACCATGAGCCCACGGGCAGAGCCCCTGGGGTGCAGGGCCGCCCCCCCACCCCCATAGCGTGAACCCAGGGGAGTCACTGGAGCAACAGGCAGGGAGCTTCGCCCACCAGGGGGTGACAGCGTTACCCCCCACCCAGCCCCGTGGCCAGGGGGGCTCAGCACCAGGAGGGGGAGGGGACGCGCCGAGGTGGCTGTTTGTGTTATTTTGCATCCTGTTAATCACCAGATTTCTAATAAACACAGAACCACAAAGGAGCCCCAGGCCTCCCACAGCCCCGCTGTCCCCACGCTGGGAGTGTGTGTAACACCTGGGGGGGGATGGGATCACTCTGGGGTGGGGTGACAACTCCTGAGACACCAGCACAACCCTCCCCCCAAACACTCCTGCCTCAGAGAATCCTCCCCCCAACCGCTCCCAGAACAACAACCGCACCTCAGTATCGAACCCCCGGCCCCCCGAGCACCAGCCCCTGCGGCACCAGCTAGAGGAGCTCCCCTACGCCGGGCTCATTGGGCTCCTCTCAGAGCAGCCCCTGGAGGGCGACGGGGTCCCACTCGCTGGCCCAGCTGGGCCGGTCTCTGCACAGGGCTGTCAGTGGGGAGCGGGGCCGTAGCAGGGCTCAGCATGAGGAGGGCCCCGCCTGTGACTGTGGTGAGCTGGGGGCATTGGGGGGCCGGGCACTTGATAACTAACCCATTCCCGGACAGACTCCCAGCATTGACCGCTCTGCCTCCTCCCTTTCCCTAGGGCCGGGCACCCGGCATTTCACAGCCACGGTCACCCCACCCGCCTGCCACTCGCCCCTTCGCAGCCAGCTCCTGCCTGGGGGTCCCCATCCAGTAGCGTAGCTAGCGGGGTGCAGGGGAAGCAGCCATTTCCCCCGCCTTTCCAAAAGCGGCCGGAGGAGCGAGGGGGGCGCAGGCTGGCGGCCCGCAGGGCGGCCGGCAGCCAGGGGGGGCGGCGGGTGCGGCCAGAAGAGCGGGGGGGCACAGCATGGCGGCTGGCAGCCGCGGCCGGAGGAGCGAGGGGGGGGGCCACGGGGGTGGCACGGCAAGGCCGGAGGAGCCATGGGGTGGGGGGGGTGCGGCCGGAGGAGGAGCCAAGGGGGTGGCGCCTTTTTTATGTTTGCTCCCCCTCCTCTTAGAAGCTGGCTACGCCACTGTCCCCATCAAGTCTAAACCGGCCGCCCCCAGTTACAGCCTCCCCCTCAGACACCCGCTGTCGTCCCCGTCCATCCAAGGCCGCACTGGGCAGGGTGCATTTGGCCCTAGCGCTTTCCCAACTGGCGGCTGGGTAGTTAAATCCCCCAGGACCACCAGGCTCATCGCCCAGCCCAGAGCTGGGCCCTCCCATCCCGCAGAATCACAGCCCCCCCCCCCCCCATCATCCCTAGACAGAGCCCTCGGCCCCTGTGTGTGGGGTGCTGGAATAACGGCACTTACTGCCCCCCTCCTCTCTCTGCAGCAGGGTCCCCCAGCCCCGTTTCTCTCCCCCCTTTCTCCCTAGACCTCCCCCGTCCTGTATTTCTATTGTACAAACCCCCAGAGCTTCTTGCTCCCCTGCCCCCCAAATCTCCCCACTGCAGGGGGCGACTGTGATACCGGAGCCTCCAAATGTCCCCTTGTGGTGGGCTCAGCCGATGAAGGTGAGTGAGAAGTTCAGGCAGCGTCACGAGAACCTGGATAAATGAACGTTGGGTGGGGGTGAAATTGGCAGGATTAGTCCAACCCGAGCAGCCGCCGGACAGAACCCAGGGGCCGGGCTGGGGCCTGCCCTGGACATGGGAGAAGTGGGGGAGCCGAAAATTGGGGTATTGGAAACGAGGCCTCATTAGTGGATAAAAGATTGCAGGGACGGGCTGTGCCGCCCACCACCCTTTGGGGCCTTAAAGAAAGAGACTCGCTTCACTGTCATGGCTGCCACCCCCCGTCTCCTAGGCCCCCCGGACCCTGCCCCATGGGGGTGGGGGGTGAAGGGCAAATGAGTGGAGAGCCAGAGTTGGGATATCTGATGGGGATGGGGGTTTTCCAGGGCCGCCCGGGGGCGGGGGGGTGAGGGGCAAGTGGGGCAGTTTGCCCCGGGCCCTGCAGGGCCCCGCGAGCCCTGGCCGAGAATCCCTCCCCTGGCTAGAAGCGCCTTTTTAATTTTTACTCACCCGGTGGCGGTCTGGGTCTTCGGCGGGATTTCGGCGGTGGGTCCTTCAGTGCTGCCGAAGATGCGGAGTGACTGAAGGACCCGCCACCACCGCAGACTCGGAGCGCCGCCCGGTGAGTACAATCTCCCGCGCTTTGCCCCAGACCCCCTGAATCCTCTGGGCGGCCCTGGGGTTTTCTCTTCAGCTCTGTCCCCAGGTCTTGCCCCCTCCCCTCCTTGTGTCTCTTTCGCAGCATCCTGGGGTCGGAGAGGGAAGCTCGGCTCAGCCCTCGACTCCTGTGAGCTCTGCCCCGGGCCCTGAGCTGCGCAGACCCACGGCCCCGGGGATGGGCTGGGGAAGGGACACGGGGCCTTTCACCTCTAGGGGGCTGGCTCTGATCTGTGTCCTTTTCTCTAAGCACCAAACCCCACCCCCCCAAACAGAGCCAGTAGAGAACCCAGGAAGCCTGTCTCCGAGTCGCTCCCCCACAATCACTAGACCCCACTGCCCTGCCAGAGCCGGGGTATATAACAGGTTAGCTGCATTAGGTTTACGCAGAGTTTCACTGGCAGTAGCAGAAACAGGAAGTGAGCGCCGGCTCTGGGCAGACTTCCCCTTTCGCAGAGTTATCGACTCCTCCTTTAACAACTCAGGATCTAAATTTATCCCTCTCTCGTCCCCTCACGGGGGCCAGAAACCCACAAGCCCTCCCAGCCCCCTGTCCGGTCTCTGGGTCCTGTCCCTTGGCTAAGAATAGATTCTGCATTGACACTACTGAGAAGGAGGATGGCCAGGCCCCTCCACCCTCATGCTCCAGGGTGGGCGCTGGGCCCAACTGGGTCAGGAAGGAACCTCTGCCCCGCTCCATGGGAAAGGGTCACTCCGTGTGGGGCAGTGTGTGTGTGGGTGCCCTCCTCTGCTCTGAGCTGCTGCTCCAGGGAGGCTAGATGGGCTATTAGAAAAGGTCAGGGCAACCTGAGCACCTCTTGATG